CTGAGCTATATCCCCCCCACCCCCCGGGCCCAAACACGTTTTCTAGCTCTCAGCACTTTAATTTTCTTAGATTGGTTATCTTTGCTGCCCAAGAAGTTTCTAATATAAATTTCTTAGGTGTGAATAATTTTGCCTTGATACTGAAGAAGAAGTTTGGGTATATGGATTTGTTAAGGGTGTTGCTTCACTGTGTCCCCTGCTTTTTTTTTTTTTTTTTTTTTTTTTTTTTTTGTATCTAGTACAGGGTCTTCAGGGTCTCACAACGCAGATCAGATTTGTAGTGATCCTCCTGTTTTCAGCTTCCCAAGCACTGGGATTACAGACAGTGCCACCCTGCCCAGTCTCAATCGCCATCTCAGCGCACTCTGGGGATTGAACTCCGGCTCCTGTGCTCTGCCTACGCAGGCACTTTAGTTCATGCTGCTTTTTTAAGGATGGCCAGGAAGCACAAAAGGATAATAACCCCTCTTCCCTCTGATCCAGTGTGGTAAAGAAAAATCATTTCATGTACCCTATTTCCTCAGCACAGTTTTTTTAATGAGTTCTTCTCCACCCAAATCGAACAGTATTTTTTAAATTTTAAATAAAAACACTGAAATTTAATTACTGCCATTTTTGGGGTTTAATGCAAAAATTGCAATTAAATATTTATATAACATGTGTAGATCACTAAGGGCATTAGGCTGTGATAATAGCAAAATCTGTTTTAGATTTTTAAATCAAATCCTGTAAATACACTGTCTGGTGAATAATTTTAAAAAAGCATACAACTTATCCCATAAGGGAAGGATACAATTCTGCAAGACTACTAGCCAATATGTTCCAATTTATTGTGTGCATCTGACCAGATATTTTAAAATATTCTTTGAAAGAAGTTTGACATCAGGCCCATTGTCTATATTACGTGACATTCTTTAAACATTCCTTTTGGACGGGGAGATGGCCCAGCGGTCTAAGCACCAGCCTAGCAAGCACGAGGACAAGGGTTCAATCTCCAGTAACTGCACACCTGTAGTCCCAGTGCTGGGGAGGTGGAGACAAGAGGATCACTGTGAGTCTGAGCTGTGTAGCAGAACCCTGAAACAAATACATAAATTTTAAAAAATCATTTTATATTTAACTAATTTAAAAATCAATTTATACGATAAAATAGTATTGCTTACTAAAGTACATTTAAATCAGGTAATTTCTATAAATTGAATGAATTTTGTATAAAGATAGCTATTTGAAAATAAAATTGTGGTAAAAACCCTGGTGATACTCAGAATCAAGAACCAAAAGCAAGTTTGGTCTTTGAAAATATGTATTCCATTACCTTTATGGTTCTGACATGAAGGTTAATAAAGTCTAGTTCTTTTTTTTTTTTTTTTTGCAGAACCGGGGATTGAACTCAGGCCCTTGCGCTTGCCAGGGAAGCGCTTATTCCACTGAGCCATCTCCCCAGCCCCTAAAGTCTAGTTCTTGTAGTTGTAGATGATTTAGAGGAACAACTGTCATTGATTGTGAGAATTTATATATTTTATGTCTTGAGAATTAAGTATATATTGTTATTTAAATCTATTCTGTCTCATTATAAAATCATAGGATATATATTATGAAAGTGCATTCATAATCATAGGATATATATTATGAAAGAGCATTCATCATTCAGAAGTGAATTTCTGTAGCATTTCCAACTATTTAGTTTTGATATGATTATTTCATATGCTTAGTTTTAAGTTTTAAATTTTCTTTTAAAGTAAAAAGCAGAATATCGAATTTTATGCAAAAAGCATCATGTGAAAGAAAATTCTTAATTCCCCTTAAATTCCAATTATAATCTAATTGTATAGTATATATATATATATATATCATTTTTGTTGTTAAATATTGTTAGTCATTACTTCCAATAACAAAAACCTTCAAACTGTCTTATGATTACCTAATGATACATAGTTGCTACATGACAGTAACTATTAATCAACATGTTATGGCACATAATACAGTTTTTAAGTGCAGAAGCTTTTCAGTTCAAAATTATTTCTGTTCAGGAGTAGCTTAAAATGTTCTTTTCTCTCTTGCATACTGTGAAATGATCCAGAATTATTAGAGAGGTATGACCACAAACTATGGCAGTTAGGAAGAAAAAAATTCATTAGTGAAACAAAAATTAAAAAAAGGAATTTGAGCAATTATTATTTTCAATGTCTCCTTTAGTATAACTTTTATTTGTTCTGGTGTGTGTGTGTGTGTGTGTGTGTGTGTGTGTGTGCACGCGTGCACATTATTAATTATGGGTGTTTTGCAAGTAATCAATCATTATTTTACAACATAATTTCCTTGTGTGTACAGTGGTGTCTGATTGTCCCTGACAGGCCTGTTTGGAAAATCAGTGATAATATGTGGTATTTTACCAAGTGATTAATTTATTTTGGCTCCAATCACTAGTTTAGTAACACAGAGTAGTTACTCATGTTCAAAAGTGCATGATCAGTAAATAGTTTTGGGATTTATCTCTTTTTAGGCTTGAACTATTCCACTCATTTAATAAAATGGATGGATTATTTTCAATAAACACAAAAGTGAAACCTTTTAAGAAGTCTTATAGACTTAATCTTTTTAGAGCAAATTAAGTCCTCTAAAAGGGTGCCTTAGTTTGTTCTACTTGCCAGTAATATATTATTATAAGTTTGTCATTTTGCTTTCACTTTGTTTTTTAAAAGATACTCCATCAACTTAGATCACTTTAATTTGATTTATACTGCTGTGTTAAAAACTTGCACAGATCAAGTTTTACATGCATTTAAATTGCCAGTGTTTTAACAATAACCATGTATTATACATAGGAAAATGCCAATATTGTAAGTTAATAGCTCTGATATGAAGATAGAATTTAATGAATTGTGTCCGTCTGGTATAATAATTTAACTTTAAAACTTAATAAATGTATGTCACCATTCAGCATACTGCAGTGGGCAGCATTCACTCAGTTTGAAATTTATTTCTAGTTCAGCATGCACCATAGTGATGGAGTGCAGAGTCCTGAGCTCAGTCCCCAGCTCCCAAAAACAAAACAAAAAACACTAAAAACTGAGTGCCAGGCATTTTCACCAGGTATTGATGGATATGTGAGGAAGACTGTGATTTATTCCTCAGGCAGTGCACAAATAAAGATGGAAAAGAAATGGGAGGAGTAGACTTTGATTACTTAGTCTTTATTATATTCGTACAATTATAGGCACTTCTTACCATTGTAATTATTTCATATAAAGTTCCATAAGATATTTATTATTATTCTAATTTTTTAGATGGAGAAACAGTCAATCCATCACTGATGGAGTTGTGATGCAGGCCTTTCACAGTCCAAATTCCATGTGTGTTTGTACTATTGGAAACTTTGGCATGTCACGCATGCTGAGGTGTAAAAATGGGTCATGGTGCTCTCTCTTCTTAGAATTCAGAGTTCTGTGAGAGCAGCTCAAGCTCAGAAAGGCCAGGCTCATTTTTGGCTGTATTTATTTAAACCTGTTTTATCACATTTTTAGCCAACAGTGTTCTGTGATAAAATAAAAAGATGGTTAAAATGCATTTTAAACAGGAATTCATTGATTCATTTGGCATTTCTTTTTAATTTTAGTCTATGAGAGGATTTTGTCTGAAAATTTAACTGATTAGATTGGTTATAACAGGTATAACTTGCTGTTGCTCATTATCTTAAATTGCTCCCTGAGGAAAGCTGTGTTTCTCTATACAAGCCTTCTCAATTAGTTTTGTCTATTAAATAGTCAACCAGAAAGCTAGTGAAGTCTGAGGGTTTTTTTAAGTGAAACTACTTTATTTTAATTCAATTAAAATTTTAATTTCTAATATAAAAATTAGGATGAACCACTTTCAGAATGAATATGAATATCTTGTGTTAATCAGCAGGTCTTTAAGTCTCCTCTTCAAAAAGCATCTAAACCTTCTCTGCCTTAACTACTATTTCTTATGCAAAGAAACCTTAGACACGTTCCACCTTCATTATCAACACATCGAATTCTAGATGTTGCACATCAATAAAATAAAAGTGCTGAAATTCCAGTACTACATACATATTTGATGTACGTTACTGATTTTTCACCTTGATTTGGTCATATACCTGGGGATTTTTGAAATGTAGTGTAGATGCTACATGGCTGTGGTGCTCTGTGTGTTTGGGAATGGGGCAGACCAGGTGGTGGGAGGGCCTCTCCAGGGTAAGCATGTTGGGCCAGGGAGTCCAGGCAGGTGCTTATGAATAGCTTTTCCTTTTCTCTCAAATCTCTGGAAAGTATTATTTAAAAGAACTTTTCGCATGTCAAGGCAATGAATGTGTTTAGCTCAATTATATTTAAAGAAATCCTAATCAGTCAGCACATGTGCCAGAAATTATAAAGGTTGTTTATTTTATTATTAAATGATTAAAATTATATGGTTCACTGTTTTGTATTAAGGCATCATGGTTTAGAGAAAGAACCGTCTTTTTATTGAAATTAATATTAATCTTGAGAGGTAATGTCAACATTTTTCGATACTTACTGTGTCAGAGACTGCTAAGCATGCAATCTACGCTAATCTTATTTCATGTTTGCAGCAGCTCCGTGAGGCAGGTACTGGGAGAGCTAAGGCCGGGTGAAGGAGGATCCAGACTGCCATATAAACAGCCTGGGAAGTCAGCAATACCTCCGTGCAGATCCTTCTGCAGAGACGTGTACCAGGCAGCCTCCCCGCAGCCTGTGACCTTTGCCGCTGCACTTTGCTGCTTCTTTTTAATGAGTTAGAGTCTGTGCTGGACCTTTGTAATTTAACTAATTAGCCCTTCTTTACTGAGCACCTGCTTTTTGTTCTATTTGAGAAAATTCTTATATATATTTGTATATACCAGTACACTAGACATATGCATAATTACATAGGAACCTTAGGCCAATATTTTTAACGTAGGTAAAAATTTAATATTATGAAGCAAATGAAAAATTAACATATTTGATTCTTACAAATTTCAGTTTATTGATGGTCGACTGGCAAAACTAAATGCGGGAAGGGGTTTCTCTGATCTGTTTGAAGAAGAGATCACGTCAGGTGGCTTTTGTGGAGGTATGGAATATTTAGAGTGTGATTGTCCATCTTTTAAATAATAATTGTCTTGATTGTTCAACTTGTGTTTGATGGAATCTATTGCATGTACATTAATTTTCTCTTAAGTATATGATGTCTTAAATACATTTTTTTTATCTTATAAGAGCTATGGTATCAATTTATTTTGTCTCATATCAGTTAACATTGAAATTGACTCATTAACATTAAAATTGACTCATAAATTGTTCGCTGTTGGCTTAGATGATCTCTTAATATTATCAAAAATAACACAGAAATCCAGCCAGTTCATATTCTTTAAGCTTTCCTCCTGGAGAGTAGTCGTCTGCTAAAAAATGAATAATGATAATAGCCATAAGAGAACATGTATTTAAAAACTGAGATTATGGTAGAAATAGAATATTGCAATATAATCCAAAAAATGTTTAACACTACTGTTGAAACTTTTGTTTTAAAATCACACAAGTATAATTAATTCCACAAATGTAGTTAATTCTTCAATCACAAATATTCAATGTTATAATCATCTAGGCAATTAATGATCTACAAGTCAATACTTTATATGCTGTTATTCTTGTATATAACCTTGATTTGCTGAGAATTTTGATTCAATCTGTTCAGTGTTCTGTCCATTAATTTAACCAGTATTGCTGGGTGCTTAGTATGTATTATCCTAGATATTAGGTGAATTAAAGAAATAAAAATCCCTTTGGCATGTTAATTTTTGACCTGATATAATAGTAATTTTCTACTTCTGTCAGGTGTGGTGGTAGATGCCTACAATCCCAGAACTTGGGAGCTAAGACAGTGTTATCACTATAGATTCCAGCCCCTCCTTGGGCTACACAGTGAGACCCTGCTTCAAGAAGAGAAAGAAAGGAAAGAGAGAATTATTCACACCATAAAAATATAAAAAATGTGTAGAGGTCAGTTGATTAAAATAGAAATGAGTTTAGCAGTTGTGCACTTTCATCTCATACAGGTATATTTCATTGAAAGCGTTCACCGTAGGGAAAAAGTTTACTTGACTCAGCCACAAAGCTGAATGTTGAATCATTTAGTTCTTTGCCTTCCTCAGCTCATAGATAAAGATTCAGCTTCAAATGGGACTTATGTATTAAAATAACACTTTTTTACTTTTCAACTCAGACAAGCAAAATATTGTCAGTTTATGGACAAATTGCTTGAGGCATCTATTCCATATTTACGTAACTGCTGTCTCATTATCTTTATGACCCGTGGGGCTAGTGGCTTCTATAGAATTGAAGGTGACATCTTGTGACAGTAATGGGGTAGCGCTATGATCCTTTTGTACTGTTAAATTCCACAGTCTTAACCATCAGGATAGGTACCTGTGTAATACAGGACAGGCGTGTGTGTGTGTGTGTGTGTTTTAACTAAATATTAAAGGTAACTAAAATTTTTCGCTAAAGGCCTTACTGTTTTAAAAAAGAATAGGGGAACAGTCCTCTGACTCAGACACTAGTATATTTTAGTACCACTTAATGAAAATGGTTTTTTGCTCTTTATTGCAATGAGAAAGGTTTTAAACTCATTTTAATTTGAAATACTTATCCAAAAAGAAAGCTTATTTCAACTGTTAACAATTTCCATGAACAAGAAATTGCCTTAAAAATTATGTCTGTCGGGGGCCTGCTCCTTAGCTCAGTTCTTTAAGTGGCTGCTTCAACAAAGCAGTGAGGCTCAGGTTGCTGTGGTTCGATCCCCACAACTCAAGCCAGCCACACCAGCCCTGAAGGCATTTGGAGAAAAAAAAATTATGTCTGTCAAATGTTTAGTTCTATTTTAGATGATATATAGAAATTATTATTTTTTTTATGTATTTGGTACAGGGTCTCACTATACAGGTTGGACTCTTAATGAGCCTCCTCTTTTCAGCCTCCGCAGCACTGAGATTACAGGCATGCACCACCATGCCTGGTCTCGTTGGCTGGCTCAGCGTGGCTGGGGGCACGGCCTGTGCCCAGGATTGAGTTGTTCCCTGTCCCAGCCATTGCCTAAGCAGGTGTTTAGTTTGCTGAGCTATTTCATCCATGCTAGAATTTATTTCTAGAAGAAAATAAAACATATTTTTAGGATTTAAAATATGAAAAATAATAAAAAATAGTAATATTTTCTAACTACTAACTAGAAGCTATCTGTCCATGTGGGATATATGTTTGTATGTATATGTGTGTGGGGTTTTTTTGTGTGTATGTATTTCCAAAAGTTGTTTCTTGAGTCTGCTCCAAGCTTGTCATAGAGACTATACTTACAAGAAATATGTATTGCCAAGCTCTCCTGTTCGTCCAAGAAGAAAGCAGGTTTAACTTTGTGTATTCTCATAGAGCAACATTAGTATCACTTACTGAGTACCGATATGCAACAGAAACTCACAGAAAAGATCTACAGATACCTCATTTAAGCTTTATAACAGTTCAGGAGGCCTTTGGCCATGTCATTTTGCTCACAACTCAAGAATTCATTTAAGGTCACACAGCAAGTAGAGGCCAGAACCTGAGCTGAGTGTGTTCACCAGTTTCAGAGCTCTTGCTTTAACAGCTATCCTACATTGACTTTTAAATGTTAGGATCTTAGTTAGAAAACATTTATAGTTTCACTTAGACCCTCCCTAACTATGACTGAATAAAAGCAAACCCCTTGTCTCTTCTGTCTTAAATATTTTTTCACACATAAAGCTCAGGAGAGAGCCAGGGAGATAGCTCAGTAGAATAAGCGCCTGCCTGGCAAGTGCAAAGTGCAAGGTCCTGAATTCAATCCCTGGTACTACAAAAATAAAAAATAAAATAAAATAAAAAGTATAAAGCTCAAGAAAGATTACTGTATAATAAACCAGCAATAACTAAACCAGAAATGAAAATTTTATTGTTAAGCAGAAATAATTAGGAAATTTTATGGAAAATCCATTTTTCTAATTTTATACATCAGTACAATTGTAGTTGGTACACTTGTTTGGAAATGTCCATAGCTATGGTAAAATTAATGTAAGGTAATACTTCACAGTTACATTTCTATTAGAAATTCAAGACAATCAGATACAGAACATCTTAAATTTCATTTGAATCTAGAGCCATAAAAATTTTGACTGTATGGAGATTTTCCAAATTTTTTCCTGTCCCAAGGGGGCTGTTTAGGAAATGTGTCATTTCCTCGCACATTCTTCCTTTCATCAGACTCTTGCAGAATACTCAACCTTAGCTTAAAAGGAAAATAATAACAACTTGAGGAAATGTGTAAAAGAATGCCCATGGAGCTGAAAGGCCATAGAAGAGAGCCTGAGTGGGGCAGAGGACTCAGCTAGACACAGCTGCTGACGCATGGAGAAGCCACCAAGGAGCACTGGCTTGTTTAAGAGCATCGTTTTTCAAATTTTAACTTTTATATGAAGTTAAAATAAAACTAGTTCTTAAATCCAGATCAAATTGTGCAAACTTTAGAAAAGAGAAATATTTTCACATTGCTCAATGAGTATGTGGATACATATTAATAGCATGTGTTTCTTCATTAGTTTCCTACATAAATGGGTCCGTCTTGTACTTGTTTCCTTCCACTAAGTAAATTATTAAAGGGTTTGGAAAAATGGTAGGCGTTTTACCAGTTCTAGTAGTATTTCTCTGACCACATTGAATAATGTAGATCACTTTATATCTTTTGATAAATAATTGCAAATTACTAGAGTTTCAAATAGATTTAGGAGAAAAGTTTTGAAGCAAATGAAAAATCAACATACTTTGTCCTTGAGTGTGACAAAATCAGATGTTTTATTAACAAGAATAATGTTAAGATCATCCTTAATTGTGCTCATGCATTTTTATAAGGCAGTTAAAAGAAAAACTGAGGTATTATTTTGGCGCTCAAATGAATGTGTAAGCAAAAAGTGGCCTCAGGTTTTTCATATTACCAAAGGACTGTGTGCTAGCCTCAGAAACTTTTGTGGTGATGGAAACCTTAAATTATAGAAACATTAAGATTTAGAGACAGCCCTTAAAATTTCAAAAATAGCAGTTTATTTATAGGTTATGTTGTACCTTATTTCCCTGTCACCTATGCAGTGTGTTTATTCCTAGGGAATTTCTCTTTGCCCTCATGCTTTGTAGTTCTAGATTGTTACTGTTAATTCTTATTATTACCTTTCTTTTCAGCATGTGAACTTGGAGAAACCTCTCCTAGCCTTCCAAAGTAAATACTACGTCATCTTGGAAATCCTTTCCTTTCTCTGGAAACTTATAGTAATTAACATTTGTATGTATATACACAGGATAGCAGGATAATTATACTGCTATTTTCTGCTGCTCTATGGACAAGAACAGTTAATGGTTAAATGTTTTCTTCTTTTTAATTTTTTGACCAATTTTGCATGTTTATATTTGATAATCTGAACAACTAATTTGAAGACAACAATATGCAGTGTAACACCATTGTTGAATTCCTGTCTTGTTGAGTGTTTTGTATTATTTTTTATTCTCTTTAATTTAAAAACTAAATATTCTAAAATAAATTTATGTCACTCAGCTAAAAAAAAAATCAGTTTTGGATCTGCATGTGTAGATTTGGTTTTCCCAGCATCATTTGTTGAACTGGGTATTCTTTCCCTGACATATGCTTTTGATAACTTTGTTAAATACCGAATGGCTGTAGATGCGTAGATTTACTATGGAGATCTCTGATCTGTTCCGTTTTTACAAATTTTACACAAATATTCTTGTTTAGTATTGTGATACTACTAACTCCATTCTGTCTTCTTAAGATTATTTGAAGTATTTTGTGTTAAATAACATTATTTTTGAATATAAAGCCAGTTCAGTTTTTGAAAGGAAATTAAGCTAAATAAATATCTCCTTTAAAAAATAATAACCTTTATGGTGTTCCCACGATGTGTTAGGGACCATCCTAGACCCTGCATAATCCTTACCTGCCATTCTGGCAGTAACCCTCACCATCAGTACCTGATAAGCTTGTTTGCTGAGTGAGGAAGCTGAGGGTCAGCCAGGTGAAGCGTCTCCTCTCAGATCACACCACTCACAGACTGGGCGTCAACTCCCAGAGTCCCTTAAGCTCCAGAGAACTCTTCCTCATTGAACTGTGCTGCCTTGCCTGCTTTATAGTTCAGAACTACAATTCAAGTACTGTAATGTCTGTAAACACATTTCATGACCCGTGAAGAGCTGAATATGAACTTTTTTGTATCTGTCAAATGTGTAAGATCTTATCCTTTTTATAACTCCTCTGAATTTTTTCGTAGACATTTTCTTGGTGGTTCAGAGGCTTAAATTTTTTTATGTGAGAGGGCTGATATGTATTCCAGATACTAAATTTCTATCATATTGTTGACATTTCTGCTTTCTTAAAATCATGTTGGAAGAATGATTAAAATCCTCTACAGAATACTGTAACATCTAAGTCTTAAATGTGTGATTTCTACTCAGTCATTTTTAATGAAGTAAAACAGAAAATGAATAGGTGAGAACCTGGAATAAAGAAGTAAAATAAGTGAATGATATGGATGAATGAAGATATGCAGTTTCTTTTTTTTATTAAAATCTGAAAATTAAATTAGTAGGTTATGGATGGCCAGATAGCTCAGTGGGCTGACTAAACGCCTGCTTACGCAGAGCACAGTGGCTGGGGTTCGACCCCCTTGTGCTGTGCCAGCCCCGCCCCCGGGGCGCGCTGGAATGGTGATTGAGACTGGATGTGGTGGTACCCGCCTGTCATCCCAGCTCTTTAGAGGCTGAAAACAGGAAAATCACTACAAGTCCGATCTACATAGTGAGACCCTGTAGACCCTGACTAAAAAGAATAATAGAAAAATTAATAGGTTAAACAATAGGAAATAAATACACCTATAAAACTTTGGTCACACCAGTGCTGTGTGTAGCCCTCATGACTTTTAAGCAGTCAGCTTACTTTTACTTTTTTTTTAGGTAAATGCATTCTGCTATAATTAATTCTGGAAAAAAAAACACTTCTTTCTGAATTTCTTTCTCCAGATAAAGGAACAGTGCCATGCTGAGTGGTAAACAGCTATACAGTATTTCCCCATTATCTTATCCAGTACAGTTATTCATAGAGAATTTCTCTTTTTCCTCAAACTTTATACTTCTAGATTACTTTTCTAGATTATTATAGTTCTAGATTGTTACCGTTAATTCTTCTCATTACCTTTTTTTCAGAGTGCTGTCTTGGAGCAACCTCTCCTTTGTAATGTAATTGCCTTGAAAGTGGTACAGAGAAAAGCTCTAAGTAACTTAAGTTTTATTATATTTTATTAAGTGGTCTCAGAGGTAGTATTTCAGAGTTGAAGGAATAATAACCCATGAATTAAAATACCTAGATTTATATTCTTTGAGTGGTTTATCAGAAAGCCGTTTCTTGACATTTTTTTTTTTTTAATTAGAGAAAGATTTTAAGTAGAAGCACGGACCCAGAGCTGAGTAACATTTGTAAAGAAATTCTTAGGATGGAATCGTCCTGCCTGTATTTTGTGACAGTAAACTGATACCTTTAAAAAATTTTCTTTATGAATTGGAAATATTATTTTACATGAACCTCACTGTGCAAGAGAGGAAAGCCTATACAAAATAACATAGGCATAAAATGCAGAAAAATCAGTTTTAAAACAGGCATTTTAGATTTCAAAAGAGAGGTTACATTTTCTCCTGAGGATTTAATATTTAAATGAAAGAATATAGAGTAATGTACTAGTTTGATATGTCAATGAAGAAAACATTATTGTCAAGTATTAATTACTATGGACCTGATAATTAATTTATTACTTCTAAATGCTACTGTCTCCTTTAAAACATTGGAATTAAAACATGCCTACTAAAATGCTAAAAATAAGATTTCTTAAGATAATGATTTAAAAACTTTTGATCAACTGTTCCTGGGAACTTTTATATATTCCAGGGAATCCAAGGTCATATCAGCAGTGGATGCATACAGTTAAGGTAACATTAAATCTTTGATTTCCTTTCTTTCACAATAGCAGTTATGGAGAAATATTCAATAAAGTATGCTATTTATAGTTATGGTATTTATTTGTAATATTTGAAATGGGTATAAATATTCTCATACTTTGAATACATACATATCATGCTTATATTTTGTTGATAATCATAAAAATTTCAATTGAAACTTTTTGTTTAGAAATAAGTAGATAGTTTCTTTTTCTTTCTTTCTGTTTTTTTTTTTTTGGATTTTAGGGAAGGGTCTACAGGGTGTTCAGGGTCTCACTACTCAGTTGGACTCATAGTGATCCACCTGTTTGTAGCCTCTCAAGAGCTGGGATTACAGGCCTGTGCCACCATGCCCAATCTCAATTACCATCTCAGTGTGCCCCGGTGCCTGCTTGCAGACACTTTAATCCACTGAGGTATTTGGCTGGCCCAAAGTAGATTGTTTTGAGAAACAAGGGTTCTCTGTTACTTTATGTTATATTATAGAACAAGGAATCAGATAGAATACTAGGATTTGATGGAAATTTTATATTTCTAATAATACAGTTTTGTTACTATGATTTTTAGATTAAATATTTCCTCATGTTATTATACAACACTGAAACAGTTAATAAACATTGTATTTGTTTATTATGCTTTAATATATATGTCCAGAATTACTGTATTACTCATCTGCCTAAACTGAAAAGACAAAATGACTTTAAATGATGTATTATACCAGCTAAAAGAACAAATGAAATATGTTTGTTCTTATGTATCTCTAAAGATGCCTAGTGTAGCACTGGAGAGATAGCTCATTAGAATAAGCACTTGCCTGGCAAGCGGGAGGTCCTGAGTTCAATCCCCAGTACTGCAGTAAATAAATAAACCTAATATTCCTTGTTTCTTTAATGCAGCAAATGAAATGTTCATATTTTTGTTTAAAATTATTATAGAAAATCTTTGAAAACATTAAACATGAAATAATTTTTATGATTCTGTTTAACTTTAGAGTAGGATTATTATTCTGTTACTACTTTATTTTTATTTTTTGTCCTTTTGAGAGAGAGTCTTGCTATACAGTTTACTTTGGCCTTGAGGTTTTGTAGCCCAGGCTGGTCTTGAACTTGCAACCATCTTCCTACCTCAGCTCCCAAGTGCTGGGATTACAGGCATGTGCCACCACACTGGTTTTTCTGTGTTAATGATAATGCTTTGTTTTCAGGACAGTTTGTCAAAATTTTTAAAAAATATATTTGCTTTTTCTTTTGTAGAAGGGAGGTGCATTATTCAACACAGCAGTGACCAAAGCAACTCCTGCTGTACGGACAGCATATAAATTTGTAAGTTTTATTTTGATACAACATTTTATTGATAGAACTCTGAATTGCTCTAGAAAAATGGGCATGTAAATTCAAAAGCTTCTGTTTTTAAAAATGTTTATAATCTAAGTTTGCAGACTAAAAATTAGAGAAAAAGGACTGAAAGGACTGCCAATATTTTGGCCCTAGCCTTTCAAGGTCAGTGAAAACTTGACATAGGAGAATCTGTGCTGTAACATCCTGTAACTCAGTTATGCCCCAAATTTTCTGATCAAGGAGATCATGGGGCCACAGAGGAAAGTGATTGATGATGTAGAGTGTGCCTAAGGAGAGTCACATGGAGAGAAAACATTCTCTCAGGCTTTCACAGAGAGCAAATTGGTCAAGCAATGGCTGTGACTCATCCACATGGCTGACAATAACAAAGGATCTACAAACTGCGGTACAGGGTTTCAGGATAAATCCTGAGGGGATTTGACTGACCTTATCAGATACAAAAGCTACATTTCTTGTTATATAGGTCTTACTTTGTCTTGGTCTTAACCATCCAGCAGAAGTATAAAAACAAAGTATAAAAAGTGAAGCCATATTAATATGCTGAGCTGTAAAAGGCTCAAGTCAACAACTTCTGACATTGCCAGTCCTACAGAAAACCCACTACTATTATGGACTACTGGACTATATTGAAATATTTTGCTGAATTCACACACCTATAATATTAAATGACAATGGAATACCCTTCTCTGACAAAACTAAACAAAAAAAAGGGGATACAAATGAATGACCATTTTGCATCTGTATATTCAAAATAGGACAGATACATCACTTTCTCTTAATTCAGTGAATAGAAAGATTTGTTCCAATAGGGTTTGTAAGCAAGATCTGCATCTTGTAAAATGAATAACCACAAAGACAACAATATGCAATATTTTAATTATTGAAACTGTGCTACTAATCGGATTTGAAACTAGCTCATTACTATTTGTTTCTCAATAAAATCATTGAAAAAAATAAAATCTAGATTATCTTTTAAAAATGTTTATAGTTAATATTAACCAACCTAAATTCATTTGTTAAAATTATGTCATTACATGGAAAGAGTATTTCCTTTATGTAATCTAAAAATGTTTCATTTTATTTCAAAGCTACCAAAAAATTGCCACGTTAAATTGAGACAGTCCATGATTGGGTACCCTTTTGTAAATTAGATGCTTTTATAAAACAACGCATTTTAGATTTTCATCACATACTTGAGACTAAAGTGGAAAATATAAATAGGTGTGGCAATAATTCTTCCCTCAAAAGTGCACTGACTCTCCACATTAAAAATTTTTAGTGATTTACCTTAGTTTATACTACAGTAATAAAAACACAGCAATAAAATGAAAATCTATATGACATCTTATATAAGACCCTTCAATGTCTGTTCCTTCCTGTCTCGTTCCATTTTTACCCTGCTCTCCTGCAGCTTATATATCTCTAAGACACCTAGTATTTCTTGTTTCTTTCCTGCAACTTCTTTAGTCCTCTTATTTCTGTTCGTCATTCCTAGCATTTAGGACACCCAGTTTTTGCTCAGTGTCCACCTAGAGAATACTGTTCATCCAATGAGATAGTTCAGGTGTGGTTTACACTTCAAAAAGATTGCCCAACCCTAGTAAGAAAACCAGTTTTCATAGCCACTGCTGTGTTCCTGTAGGACTGTAAGAACTTGTTTCAGCACTTACATTGCTTGTGTATGTTTCTGTCTTTAGTACTAGACTGGTAACTGCTTGTGGGAGAAGCCTTGGGATGATATTTATTATTTTTTAAATTTACTAGGTAATATGTAGTCTATATTTATAAAAATATTTAAATGAGTACTTGTAATTTTATGAGAATTTGTCCTTAAATATTTTTAGCACATAATTTGATGTCATTGAATAAAATATTTTAATAAAATATTTGGAACTTTTGTTCTTTCTTTGACTTACAGATATGCAATATGTACAATTACTTTTTTTGTTTAGAAAATGTATTTCAAAGATTACATTTTTACAGTAGACAAGATAATTTACAGAGTTAATTCAAAAGTACAGTACCAACATTCTGAATTGTTTGCAACCTTATCAAACAAAAGTAAGAAATAATTATTTTGCCTTAGAAACATCAGTGTCTGGGCATGATGGCCTGTGCCTGTAGTCCCAGTGTTTGGGAGGCTGAAAACGGGAATCACTGAGTCCGGGCTGTGTAGTGAGACCCTGGAGATGCTGTACTAAATGAATTTTAAAAAATAATATATGCTCTGTTTGAGCATGGTGGCACATGCCTGTAATCCCCACACTGGGGAGGCTGAAAACAGGAGGATCACTGCAAGTGCAAGCTGCATGGTGAGACCCTTTACAAAAAAAAAAAAATAGTGTTTGGACAGGATATCATGTCTGCATCTTGTACTATGTATAACCACTACGAAGACAACAATATGCAATGTATTAATTATTGAAACTGTCCTACCAATCAGTTTTAAAACTGTCTCATCACTAATTGTTTCTCAATAAAATTAATTAAAAATAAATAAAGCAATAAAAATAAATTTATATATGCAAAAAAAAAAAGAAACATCAGTGTCTGGTGTTTGTTTTTCCTAATTTTTAATATGGAAAGTCAGTGCACCTTTGAGGGAAGATCCAAGAATGACTTTGCTGGAAAAAAATCTGAGTGGATAGCTATCTCTAGATAGTAGGTGTAATACAGATTTGGAGAGTTGTTGTTGCTGTTGTTTTAAGAATAAAATAGCACTTGGCTACCAAGTGAAAAACTCAGTGTTGAGTCTTGTTTCTCATACACACAAAAATTAAGTTTCTACAAAAGGTGGGCCTCATTTTATTCCTGAAACAAGGACTTGAAGAATTTTTTTTTAACATTGGAGAAGTGCTGTTTTGCAGAATGTTTTCTCCCTTAATTTCACTCAAATCTTGCATAAGAATACAACAAGAAAGTGAGCTTCTTTAAAGCTTCATTCATTATTTACAATTTTTATCCCTGTACTCAGACGGCTGCTGTTTTGAAACCTTTGCAAGGCAATAAAATTCTTTCCAAGTTAAAAATTTTTGCATGTTGAAGGACTATTTATTCATTTTATTTATTTTACAATTTAAGATCTGAATTCCTTGTATCATTTCCTTATGATCATGTCAGACTTGAATGAAGAGGTTCAGGCAGGAAACAGTCATTTTTGACTTTTACTGTTTTTAAAGAGTAAAAGATATTTATTCGGGGGAAGAAAGCTTCTGTCCAAGAGAGAGACAGAAGAGGACCCTGAGCGGGTTGTCCCCGGGATGTGACCTTTATACTTTTACTTAAAACTTATCCTTTCAGACTGCTCATGTTCCTCCTTTGACCACAAACTGCAATGAACAAAATTTCCAGCTTCCATTATGTGTGCGTAATAGACTGTATTCACCTTAATTTTCTGTTAATGGTAAATTTTTCAAATGTGAAGACCTTTATTTCATTCATTTAACAAGTTGAGTATCTGTCATGATTTAAAACTTTTTTTTGGCTCATGTCAGAGTTTAGAGTATTTAAGGTGAGAAAGACACTGCCTCAGCATTTGCATTTGTTTTTTTTTTTTTTTAAATTATTGATTGAACTCAGGCCTTTGTGCTTTCCAGGGAAGCACTTATTCCACTGAGCCATCTCCCCGGCCCAATCTTTTTTTTTGGTAGCAGGGATTGAACTCAGGACCCTGCACTTGCCAGGCAAGAGCTTATTCTACTGAGCTATCTCCCCGGCCCTTGTGTTGGGCATTAAACCCAGGGCCATCTACATTTAGGGAAGGTTTGCACACTGAGATCCCTATCCTTTCCTCACTTTTTCTCTGAGTCTGTGGTACCTGGAGCCTCCCTCAGCTCAGTCACCTCCTGAAACCTTATCTAGAGCTGTACAAAAGTTCGAGGGCAGCCAAGCATGGTAGCACAGTTAATTTTAGCTCCTTGGGAGGCCAGGGCAGAAGAAGTAAAGTTTGAGGCCAAGCTGGTTAACTTAGCAGACCCTATCTTCAAATTAAAAATAAAAGGGCTTTGGATTTAGCTTAGATCACCATAGTTTCAAAACAAAAACAAAATACAAATTTCAAGGTCCACCATAACATGTGTGCTGAAGAGACCCCATGGGACAAAGTATCTGAAGGCTCAGGGCACTTGGCAAACAAAAAGCACTGGGTGCTAAAACTCACCTTGGGGACTGAAGTCAAGAGGACGCGGCACAGCAATGCTCTGACAGGCCCCCCTCCTTCTTCTGGGACTCAGAGTGCTTGGGGTTT